GTTTAGGGAAGATTTGGAATCATTCTACTAAACAAGGAAAATGAGAAAATCTGAATTAGAAAGACAATTGTGCTTATTAGTTTCTTTAAATTGAAACATTAAAACTTTATTGGAGAAACAGTTCATATTAATTAACTTGTGTTTTTTCTTCTCAAGCAAGATTATATCCAAGTTAAAACAAAGGTTAAAAATAGTACATGCTCTTTAATGTAAATACAAATTAATTTAATTTGTCCCTAATTAAATGTTATCAGCAATTGTCATCTAAGCATTCATTTCTATTTATAAATAGAGAAAAGCTATTATTTTTATCTTTCTCTTGCCTCTGAGGTTTCTCAAAGCCATATTATTACTAGATATTATTTGAAGAAAAACCAAAAAACATTAGTTTTCCTTTTAAACTCTGATTCTGAATCTGTGACGACTAATTATGCTTAATTTCTCTCCTTCAAAGTATTTCTGTTTGTTCCAAGATTTTTTTTTTCTCCTCTTAGACAGAGGTTCACACTTGCTCTCTGTAAGTAGAGGCATGTGGTGGGAAATCTGAGTTTGCATCTCATTTTAAGTCCCTAATTCTTTTCATGAAAGCATGGTCCGTGTTCTAGCACTTTTATCAGATAAACTACAAGGATATATTGTACAACACAGGAATACAGCTGATAACTTATAACAAATGTAAGTGGAGTAGAGCCTTTAAAAATTGTGAATCACTACATCATACACCTGTAACACATATAGTATATAAACTCTACTTCAATAAAATATGTAAAAAATAAAAGAAACTGAAAAACAATAGGTGAGGAGCAAATCAAAACACATTTGAATGATGAATATTAAAAAAAGAGTCCAAACTTTTTCATCATTTATTTTTACTTATAACATTCAAAGCAAATATATATAGCAAGATATGTTTGTTTAGAGTGGTTTAAATTTATGAATTCAGGCATTTCCTAAACTCAAAAGGTAATCTCTAGGAAGGAAGATAGGGTGACATATTTTCTTGCAGAAAACAAAATGATAAAATGACATTAGATGGGCATCAGCTCATTTCAGAGAGACTACATGTTATTAAAGAAACAGCAGTGGCTTTGGGGCAAGGCAGAGCCTGATTTGAAATCTGCCTGCATCACTTACCAGCTGTGTGAACTGTCAGGGTTTTCTTAGCATCATAAAGCCTTGTTGTTTTAATCTGTATTAGGGGATGGTGATAACTGTTTCAAAGATATGCTGTCTCTAGCATCTTTGCGTTTTCCTTCTATGGTGTATTACTTCCATTAGAATATAAGATTCTTCTAAAAAAAGTTTTTGATCTCAATTTTCCCTTCCAGCAATTGGTTCCGTCCACATAAAACAACTTTAAGGAGCTTCACCTTCTTACTGTGAGATCGGTTTCCTCCAGTCTGCCTTTTGTCCCAGCACCATGTCAGGGACTCTATGAAATTCCTGTTGCCAAGCACCACAGACCCTTTTCTTATCCTTTTCTGCTTCTCAGGGGTATTTGTCAGCCTATCATTCTGTTCTTCTGGAAGCGGTCTTCTCTCCCTGCTCACCATATGAACAAGCTGTTCCTCATGGGTCTCCTGTGCAAGCTCCTTTTATCTCCCAACTCATAAATTCTGTAGGGCTTCCAGGCACAGGCGTGGGCTTCTTTCCTTGTTGATCTTCCGTTCCCAGGTAACACCAAAATGCTAAGGCTTTTCATGCTGTCTGCATTTGGTGACTGTAAATTTAGGTCTCCACCTCACTACTTCTCTCTAGACTCATATGTCTGCCTACATGTCTATTTAGACATCTCAGAGTCATTTCAAGACACACTTAGTCAAAAAAAAAATCCCACAAAAGACAAAAAAGAAAAACTAAAAACTACACACACATACGTATACACACATCTGCTTCTACTTCAGACTTTTCCTTTCCCAGAAACCACACTGTTTTCAAACCAATTATTAAATATCAAATCAGGTTAACTCCTCCTCATTCCTTGTCAGTCACACTGAAGTTACCCACAAGTCCTGGATGTCATCCTCCAAAACTCTACTGGTATTTCCCCATCTTTACTCATCCAAGCCGTCATACCTTCTGTTATGGGTTGACTTGTGTCCCCCCAAAGTTCTTATAGTGAAGTTCTCACTTCAGAACCTCAAGTGTGCCCTATCAGAAGATAGGGTATTTGCAAAGGTAATTAAGCTAAAGTGAAGTCATTAGGGTGGACGCTAATTTGATACTACTGTTGCATTATAAAAACGGGGCATTTGGAGAAAGACGCACACACGGGACAATGCAGGTGAAGGCGGAGATCTGGGTGATGCTTCTACAAGCCAAGAGATGCCAAAGACCACCAACCAGCCACCAGAAGCTAGGGAAGAGGCCTGGCCCAGATTCTCCCTCAGATCCCCCAGAAGAAGCCAATCCTGCCAACACCTTGACTTCAGACGTCTAGCCTCCGGAACTGTGAGACAATGCACTTTTGTTGTTTAAACCAGTGAATTTGTGATACTTTATTACAGAAGACCTATATTCTTGCTCTTAATGGTTCCAACCTTGTCTTGCACAGCAGCAAAAGTGATCGTAAAAAAAGAAAAGGTAATTCCAACCGTGCCATGCCCTGTACTGATGCCTTCTCCTTGTGCTTAGAATAAAGCTCAAAATCTGTGTCATGGTTTATGAGAAGCCCAATGTGATTTGATCCTACCTTATTTTTGAACATCATCTCATACAGTTCTTTCCGTCACTCAGTATAGTCAGTCACATCCATCTTCAGTCACTCCTTACAATATTATAAAATCAATTCCTGCCTCAGGGCCTTTGTGCATGCCTTTTCTTCTGCCTGAGAGTTTCATGCCAGTTCTTCACGTGACTGCTTATTTCTCCTGATTAAGCTTTCTGCTTAAATGCTGAAATGCATTATCAGCAACACCCCCATCCCCTATCTCAATGCACCTTTATTTCCACCTTAATATTATACAGAATGTTCACTTTTTCAATCATCTATCTATTCATCTATGTGTGTGTTTAAAGCCTATCTCTCTGAAAAATAAAAAAATATCAGAGTGTAAGATTCTTGCCTTCATATTTATTTCCAGTATCTGACACATCGTAGTTCCCAAATAGTTTGTTGAGTGAACAAATAAAAGAATGGCCATCAATTATAAAATCAGTCTACATAGTGCATACTTCATTTACTCAACACGCATTTATTGAGTTCCTTTTATGCATCAGGAACTGTTTCAGGCACTAGGAATTCAGCATGAACAGGACAGCCCAAGTCTAAGGTTGGGAAAATAGCAGAGACAAGCTCAGAGAAAGGAGTGTGCCTGGCATGTATGAGGAATGGTGTAAAGCCCGCTGAGGTGGGAGCAGACTAAGGGTAAGGCTTTGAAATATGGGAAAATCAGAAGAAAGAGGAGACAAAAAAGGAGTTTTTAGACTATAGACAAGCAAGGGTCCAAACAGAGAACAATTAGGCATTTTAATACAATGCAGAAAAGATATGAGGATGTCTTAAACCAACAATAGTTTCGCGGGACAAGAGAAATGGTCATGTTCTAGGCAATTTTCAAAGTGAGCCCAAAAGCATAGCTGATGAATTGGATGTAGGTGGTATTAATCAAAAGAGAGCAGTTATGGATAATTCCGAGGTTCTTGACCCTTATAACTTAATAAATGGAATTGTAATTTATTGAGATGAGGTCACCTAGGGGAGGAGTGGATTTCAAGGGAAAGATCGGGATCTGAGTTTTGGACGTGTTAAATTAGAAGTGTCTATTAAACAACCAGATGGAAATATCGGCTATATGAGTTTAAAGTTCAACAGAAGGGTCAGTTCAAATCAATAAGTGAATTTCAAGCCACGGGGTTTTGTATCTGGGCACTGTATTAGGACAGTGCTCGCCACAATTTGCCATCAGCAAGTCATCATTGTTTATGGGCATACTGCTAATCTTTACATTTCCTTCTGTGAAGTCAAGTTCAGGAATCACTTTGATATAAATAGTTTTATTGACATCTGGTGCAATGGTGGCCATTTATTTGATTGATTAGAAGCGAACAGAAAACGATACTAAATTTCTATAATAGCCCATGTGATGTGAAGAGGGAAGCATTCTTTTTCAAATGTTTATTGGACAGTCTTTTAGCTAACAGACATTTACAGAAACTCCATTGTGTGTCAGCCATTGCCTGCATCCAGATTATATAATGAAAAACAGCAGGCACTCCTCAGACTTAAAGAATTCAGAATCTGTGGAAGAAACAGGCTTGCAGTGAAGAGCCCTTGCTGCAATCACCTTAGCGAGCTGTTGGGAGGTTCCAAGGAGGCAAAGTGTTGAATTATGTCCACACCTCTTATTAGTATCCTTTCTACATATGCAGAATTTAAAGCCAGAGGTGTCAAATGGCTTTCCCAAAGCACGACTGGGCCTCAGACCCAGATTTTTTTCTTTTTCTTTTTCTTTTCCTTTTTATTATTTTTTCAGCTCTATTGAGATATAACTGTCATGCAGCACTGTGTATGTTTAAGGTGTACAGCATGGGGACTTGACTTACACATATTGTGGAATGACTACCACAATGAGTTTAATTAATATCCAGCACCTCAGATTGATACAAAAAGCAAAAGCGTTTCTTTTTTTCCTTTGTGATGAGAACTTTCAGGATCTACTCTCTTAGCAACTTTCAAATATACGGTCCATCGGTACATCAGTGTTACCTATAGTGAGCAGGTTGTATGGTCTACCCTCAATGCTTATTTATCTCATAATTGGAAGCTTGGACCTTTTGACCACCTTTAACCAACTCCCCCCAGATTTTCTGTTTCTGAACATTGAACTGACCCATCTTGACTGCCTCTTAAGACTGACATTATTTTGAAAGGACGATGTCATGAGTCTTTGGTTTCTCCTTTGAAAAGCTGAGAAGAAAAGCAAGCACTTCCAAGCTGTCTATGTGCATTTTTAATGAACATTAAATGAATCAGCGTGTGAATATGTGGTACGTTAAACACTGCTGTTGTGGCTCTTTCTGAGTGAACTCGGACAGCTCACTTACTGTCACAGAGCATCACCTTTCCAGTCTGTAAAATGAGAAGAATAACTGTTTTGTGAAGTTGGTGTGAGGATTAACAAAACGAAGTGTCCTGAGCAGAGTACTGACAGAACTTGACTCTAACTGTTGCTGTTATCACTATGAAGACACTCACTGAGGTAGTAAGATTTCATTAGACTCATTTAAATCCTCCTGTCTTTAGTTTTCCATCAGTTCATTGACTGAACAAATGGGAGAATAAAACTTCAGGGAAAAAAAGACACCTCTTCTACAAAGGTTGATTTTTACCATTTGTGAAGCACTGTTTTTCATGGCATGATCTCTTCTGTTTATTCCGATTTTTCTTCCTTCTGAAGCACTTATTGATAAGAATTTTTAACTGTTAAAAAATTAAGTATTGGAAATTAAAATCTGCATTTTCTTTCTAATGTCTACTCTTATAAATAAAAATTCCCATGAAAATGAAATGACTAGGGGTTGGGACTAATATCTATCTACCAAAAAATGGAAGCAGTCTGGTCAATTTATTCAAAACTAGAAAGTGTGCAGAGTGAATTCATGATGTTTGAACAACTAGGGTGAATGGTGGGGAGAGAGGGGTTGTGAGAAAGAATATTTGTGGAGGATCTACTCAATGTCCTACACTACTGGCTGCTTTTTATGTGTCTCTGTATGAAATGTTTACATCCAGCCTGTTTTGACAGACAGGAAAACTGAAGGTCAGGGTGATCAAGCCGTGCGCCCTAAGTCACCTGAGTAGTAAGTTAAATAACTGAAAACCAGGGGCATCTACTTCCAAGTCCTATTCTCTATCTATGACGTCATATTACCTTGATGATCAGCGTTTATCATATGATTGTTGATATTTATTTAGCACCTAATACATTGTGGCTTTTGCTGGGTACTCAGAGAACACACAGAAGAAGATAAGCTTAAATTTGCAGTTGAGGGGTTAAGGCTAGCATCACTGACTCTCCTGATGGTTTCAATCACAGCACTATCGACATTTGGGGTCAGATAATACTTTGTTGTGGAGGGCTGTCCTGTGTGTTGCCGTAAGCTCAGCAGCATTCTCGACTTCCATCCATCAGATGTCAGTAGCGTCCCTTAGCTGTGATAATCAAAATGTTTGCAGATATTGACAAGTGTTTCCTGGATACAAAATCTCTTCTGGTTGAGAGCACTTAGCAGCCTTGTCAGGTCAGGCACCATCTCTGGCTAACTGGCTGTTACATCTATTGCCCAAGGACCAACCACAGAGATATTTAAATGCATATCCTTTGACTGGGTGGTTCCCTGGTGATAAACTCTGGTTATTTCTTCCTTCCTTCCTGCACAACGTGTGCTTCCAGAAGCTTGAAACTCTTCAGTACAGCACAAGAGAATTTAGTACCAGCTAAAGGCCACTTCCCTCCAAGCACCTTTGCCTGCCCTTTAAAAAAGTGAACTTGTGTCTTTCTCTGATATTATTCAAAGTTCTCCCCTTTCACATTCTGCTCTCCTAGAAATAAATTTATCTGTGCCCCAAGCTTAGGGTCTGCCTAGAATTCTGAGTTCTTTAGTAAATTAAGCCGCTCTCCTTCTGGGTGAGGAAGTATTTAGTACAGCTCTGAGGTCTTTGTCCTTTTCACTTATAATGCTAGTGACCCTGTGTCCTGTTGTGGGTCTCATTGACTTGCTTCCCTCTCTGAGGTTACTTGTATGTCAGGTGTTCCCTCTGCCTCCTCAGCTCCTGTTCACTCCCTCCGTCCTTTACCCCGAGCAGAGTGACGGCCATCTGGGTCACCCATGCAATTGCAGCACCTAGATCTTGGCCTGGCGTCAGTGTGTAAGTGTTGAATTAATTAACTCTGCCTTCATTTAATATTGTGCAACTTGGTTTGCTAAGCAGATGCCATCAATGCCCCGTCCACGTGTTCTCCACTCTCAGGGATTTTTACTGCCTTGGCCTGAGGAACCTTTCCAGCTTCAGGAGATGCTCAGCCTGTAAGTTGGGCCAGCCAGAATGCCAACGCCCCAGACCTCAGCCGTGAGCCTCCCAGCTCCCCCAGCTCTGGGGGTGAGATGACTCCGAGGGGAGCTCTCTGAAGTCTCCCAGGGTCCTCAATGGGCTGAGCTGCAGAGGCCCACACAGGTCACCGGCTCATCAACACACCTTCAGTGACCCCCCTCCCTCCCTTCCCTGTCCTACATCCACACACTTTATTTTCATCGTCCAGGATGGACATAACAAGGTATCACAGGCTAGGAGGCTCAAACAACAAAAATTTATGTCTGGAAGTTCTGGAGGCCAAAAGTCTGAGAGCAAGGTGTCCCCAGGACTGGTTTCTTCAGTGGCCTCTGCCTCTCTGGTACAAGGCTGTCTTCTCCTGGGCCTTCCCTCTGTGTTTCTGTGTCCCTGTTTATTTTTCTTACAATGATTGCAGTCATATCAGATTAGGATCTACCCAAACGACCTTATTTTACTTAACTACCTCTTTAAAAACTATCTTTAAATATAGTCACATCTGAGGGACTGAGAGTCAGGGCTGTAACATTTGCATTTGGGGGCAAGGGACACAATTCAACCCATGACACCCTCTTGCCTCTATTTCCTGCTTAATTTCCCAAATTTACTTCTTGCCCTCAAATTCCTGTCTGTCAATTCTTCTTAGGGAACCCAAACTAAGACACTTTCACTATATTCTTCTATTTTTTTAGGAAAAAAAAGAAATGTCTGTAACTGCTTAATCCTTTCAACACTTCTGCCAAGGTATAATTATCTACATTCTCCTTATGGGGAACCTGAGACTCAGAGAAGCCATCCACATTCCCACCAATCTACCAAGAGGAAAACATCAGACAACTGGGATGAGAACTCAGATCTACATGGGCTGTCATTTTTACATCCCTTCCTCTTGCCTCTGCTGTGGTCCTTAGTAATCTCCAGAAGATCTTTGGAAAGCCTCTAGAGAGTTCATGGTACTGTAGGTACAAATCTGAACTGTTTTAAGAAGTTGCTTTTTTTGTCCAAAAAAGTATTAGTACTGATACTTGAACTGAACTGCATTCGTATTTCTCAGATCAGCTTAACCAGCCTCCCTGAGCACAGACTCTGGGGGATGCATCAGCCTGGTCCAAGGGAAATGCAAGCTGAATAAGACTCTGTTCCCTAAAACTCCCCTGTGAAAAATTCCAAGTAGATTTTAGTACAAAGAAACACTTTGTTTTCAATGTGGAAAGTCATGTTTCCTTTTAGGAAATTCAGAACCGAATTAACAGCTTATATTTCCCTTTCAAGCAGGGCTACTGGGAAGCGTTAAGCTTACCCATATCTTTAGTGTATTTGAAATTATTCCCATTCTCTCCGATGGATTTTGTTTACTTACACTCTGTTATTTCAGGGTATTGACAACCACACAACAATGACACCACCACCAGCAGTAACAAATGTTATTACCAATAATAATAAAACACATTATGTTTTGGGCTCCATGATTTATATGCATTTTATTATTTTACATAACAACTCAATGAAGTGGTTGATTAAACAAACAACAGTCAACAAGCTGTTTTAGAGAAACACGTTTCCTTCTTCAAAATCATGCAACCCATAGAAGAGATGCTGGAAACTGGGACTCATGTCTGTCATGACCTCAAGCCTGGAGTTAACCTCCGTAATGTACTCTACATATGTCATAGGCCATATTTTAGGGCACCTGAAATCTTTTATAAAAAGAAGTGGACTATATATCATGGTGGGGAATGGGGGTTATGGAGCTGCCCTGCTTGGAATCCCTTTTGCAGAATTACTACAGGAAACATAAATGACCTTCAGCCCAAGATGCTGCACCTTTACACCCACCCCAGGTGGATGCAAGAATATCAAGGCCACACTTCCCTTGGGCCGCTTGTGGCCAACAACTGAGTGGCAGGGTTACCAGAGCAGGCCCATTCCCACCCCATGATGGGAATTCTTCCAAAGGGTTACCCTGACTTAGAGACAGCTTACTGGCCCGGCTGAGACTTTCTCCTATTTCGGTGTGATCTGAGGCTCTTTGTCTCCAGTCCTTCTGCCCCTTTCTCCTTTCACAGCTATCAGATCAGCACTGAGGTCTGCGGCTCTCCCTTCCTACTCTTGTTGCTTCCTCTTTATTTTTCACGGCATTTCTCACAACAAGTCTCTTGTACTTCTAAGCTCATCTTTACACCAAAGAGAATGAGAGACAGAATAATAGAAAATAAGTTTATTCACTTTTCAACGTATTGAATGCAATCCCAGAGCTAACTTAGTGCCTGTGACTCATTCAGTGCTCAACAAGCACTTGTTGGATAAATGCCGCCTATGTTCAAGTCAGCCTGTAATACTGAAGTTGCAGGGGATGTGTGGTAATGGGTAACTGAGACAGGAGGCAAGATGTTAAAAAGGTTTGTGATAAGAGAAGAATGAAGAGTGCTTTGGTTGTAGAAGATTAAACTGGAGAAACCAGCACATAGCTTCATGGAGAGGGAAGCCTTCAACGTGATTTTAAAGGGCATGTAAAGTTTCCACGAGTGAAGGAAACTGAAATTAATAAAGCTACAGAAACAGTGTGAGAAAAGCAGAGAAGTATGTTCTATGACATGGCTTATGCTGGACAAGTGGTTGATGACACATGATTGGTGTAGCTTTCTAGAGTGCCGAAGGGGAGCAGGATAGAGTGGGACACTTGGGAAAGAGTTTGTGCTTGAGTATGTGAGGTCACACTCTTTGAATGGTGGAGAAATGTGAATAAAGACAGTTGTCCTGTAACAGTGCTGTCAGTAGGAGTACAATGCCAGCTACAAACCTGAGCCATATATGCCATTTGAAAATTTCCAGTAGATGCATAAACATCTAGAAAGAAGTAGGTGAAATTAATTTAATACTATCTTTTACGTTATCAGATATATTCAAAATATTATCACTTCATCATGTAATCAATATAAAAATTGTGAGATATTTTGCATTATTTTTTCTTACTAGATCTTCAAACTCAGGTGTGCATTTTATACTTACAGTCCATCTGTAACCATGCATCTCAGTTCAACCACATTCAAGTGCTCAGGGTCCATCTGTGTCTGGTGGATACTTACTGAGCATCCTGGCTCTATAATCGCCAACAAACAAAAAGTTGGAATGTCCGTCCTAACAAAACATTTTAGAGAATTCACACCTGGGAGAGGAAGCACTTCGTGAAGACATCCGAAAGAACTCCCCAGGTCATGGGACAATGCCAAGTCCTCCTGCTTGGGGGGTGTTGCTTGAGAGCACAGACTTTAAGAGGATTGGCTTTGAATAATCCAGCCCTTGCAATGGCTAAGTGTGTACCTGTGAGCACATATCAGGGCTCTTTCAGTCTCAGCAGCTTTGGGTATATGATGGTGATAAGACCATCCAGCTCTTCAATCTCTGTTCTTCTTTCCCTGTAAATTTATTGTTCTGTGTGCCTTGCATCATTAATTTAACTCACCTAACAACCCCATGAGGTAGGTAGCACTATTATCTCTCTCGCCCAGGGTCACCCAGTGAGTAAGTGATGGAGTCAAGATTCAGAGCCTGTTCATTCAGCTCCAGAGTCCAAGTTCTTAGTGTTCTATCATGCTGGATCCCTAACCAGGCTTGGAGACCCCAAATTATAAACAACAACAACAAGTAAACAACGAGAAAACTGAGTGCCCAGAAGACAAGCAATTCTTTGCCTTCTGGGATGACTCTGTATGCAACAGAGTTGAGTTCTGTAAAAGAATTTATGTAAAATGAACTCTATTATCCTCCCTCTGATATAGCCTCATTGTTTGACAGGCTTGGAATTCATTTCTGTCCATACAGAGTTTTAAAAAATTATATTCTTTAACATTTTATAGCACTGAACAGTTGAACAAGCACTCTTACATGTAGTAACACTTCCAATCACTAAGAGGGAGAAGTTATTAATTTTCTTTTCTGGAAAGCGAGGAGAAGTTTTAGAGTGGCAGAGAGACTTGTCCACAGTCATAAAGTAAGTGGTCTCGAAGCAAGTTCTCTGAATTCAAGCTGCCAATCTTCCTTGCCATTTTTAGACCTGTTTATAAAGCACACACACTTGAATGAATATTGTACAAATTATTGTTTGAAAGAGCTGCATGTCTGTGTACAGGCACTCTGCCCTTGACATTTCTTCTTCTTCAACAATAACTATTCCCATTCTTATAGGTTAATTTATCTCCTACCAAGGGATGTTGAAATCCTAACCCCTGGTACCTGTGATGTGATCTTATTGAGAAATAGGGTCTTTGCAGTTGAGCAAGTCAAGATGAAGTCATTAGGTTGGAGGACATTAATCCAACATGACTGATGTTCTTATAAAAAGGGGAAATCTTGGCAAAGAGACAGGCACATATAGAAGGCAGAGAATGTAAAGACAGGAGAAAGATGACTATATACAAACCCAGGAACACCTGAGGCTCCCAGAAGCTAGGAGAAGGGCATGGAACAGACTCCCTCACAGCTCCCAGAAGGAACCAACCCTGCTGTCTTTGCAAGTTTGGGATGCTGTAACAAAGTACCCTAGACCAGGTGGCTTACAAACATGAGAAATAAATTTCCCACAGACCTGGATGTCCAAGCTCAGGGTGCCAGCATGACCAGATTCTGGTGAGAATCCTCTCTCAGTCTGCAGGCTTCTGACTTCTCTCTCTCCCCTCACATGGTGGAAGAGAGCAAGATAACTTTCTGAGGTTCCTTTTATAACAGCACTAATTCCATCCATGGGGGCTCCATGCTTATAACCTAATTACCTCCCAAAGGCCTCTCCTCCAAATGCCATCTCACTAGGGTTTAGGATTCCAACATATGACTTCTGGGGTGATGCAAACTTTCATGACACTTGCCAATACCTCGATTCACACTTCTGGTCTCAAGAGCTGTGAGACACTGAATGCCTGTTGTTTAAGCCAGAACGTTTGTGGTGTTGTCTACAGCAGTCCTGGACACAGATACACCCATGACCCCACAACAGTCTCTCTGAGCTCCAATGTGATCTCCTTAAAGAGGTCTTTCCCGAATGTTGCCTGAGATCACGGGGACTCATCACTGTGGATCATTTCACCTGATTCTTTCCATCCTTATCAAATTTCTGAAAAAAAAATTGTTTAATTTTTCATACAAAGTCCATCTACCTAAATTAGGACATCAGCTCTGTGAAGGTAAATACCTCATCTGTCTTTCTCTTTGAGAGTGCTTGTCATAAAGTGCAAATAAACATTCACTGATTAGTAAGAAAGTGGGGATGGGGAAGACAGGCAGGCAGGAGGGAAGGGATGAGGAAGGAAGAAAAGAGATCACATATGGAGCTGGATCTTCCTTCTGTGAAAGTGCTTTGTGCATTTTGAAGAAGGATGCAGATATTAGAGACACTGTCATCATAATTACTATATTTTTCTTTGTGCTTGAACCTGTTTGTAAAACATTATTATCTAGATTTTAGAAACTGGTTGAAGAAATTGCTGCTTCCTTGGGTATGTTTGTCCACAGTGTTATTCCATCTTCAATGGCTGATCCTTTTGACTTTGAAGTGTACCAATTCCAGGTTCTCCTAAAAATAAATATTTGCCTTATTAGCATGCTTGCTCATTTACTAATTGCTTTTCTTAAATACCAGAGCCTCTTCGACAGATGAGGTTTGTGTAACCTTTATCGAGCTCACTTTACTTCTAATTACATGTGTTCTTCATTTGCAACTAAAAGTAACTCTTGTCACCATTCCTGTCAAATTTGATTCATGACATCTTAATTATTATAATTTCTTCTCCCTGCAATAGTAGCAAAAGCGTCCAACATATTTTTGTTAGGCCAATTCCTCATTCAAAGAAATGGCAATTTGGATTTTAAGGAAGCATATTTTTAGATGAGGCCCCTTTGTTTGCTCTTTCAACAGTTGAATCTTCTTCATTCCTTTCTCATTGGGAGCTGATTCGTGTTAGGTTAGGGTGCTATTATTGTGCAGTGAAAAGAGAAGCTGGATCAGCCATCAGAAACTCGATTCAATCTCAGAATCCGTGGTGTGTTCCTACTATAGGACTGTGAATAAGTTACTTAAATTTTCTAAACTGTTGGTTCGTTATCTTTAAGATGGACTCAGTGACGTCACATATCTGAGAGTAGACCAACTGAGATGACTTTATTTATTTGTTTGTTTATTTATTTATTTTGTTTTCTAAAAATTGTTTTTCTTTTTGCTTGTTTGGGGGGGAGGAGGAGGTCATTTGGTTTATTTATTTACTTATTGTTGTTATTTTTTATTTAATGCAGGTACTGGGGATGGAACCCATGGCCTCGTGCATGCTAAGCATGTGCTCTGCCACTGAACTATAGCCTCCCCCTTAGGATGACTTTCAATGCACATGAACATCCCACATGAACTGCAGGATTTTCAGAAAATGACAACTGCTTACTTTGTGCTGTTTTCTTCTTTATCTAAATCTCCTTTTATTACCTCTTTGATTCCATCTTGTGAGATTAGGAGAGCAGGAGAAAGGATGGGAGACAGGGAGAGAGAGAAGGAGAGAGAGAGAGATCCTTCTCCATATCTGTCCCATCTCCCGACTTCTCACCCTAGAGCAGAGAGGAGGTCAACAGCTTCTCGGTTTCCTTTTTCTTTTTGTTTTCAGGTGGATGTGGCTTTGGTAGGAAGCAAGAAGTTATTGTAATTCTTGCATGTGTGTGTGTGTGTTTGTGTGTGTGTGTGTGTGTGTGTGTGTGTGTGTTGGGTTCAGAGTGTAGAGAATAAAACAAGATAATTGCATCAGTTCTCTGGCTTTGTCACCAAGTAGCTCAGAAACCTCAGAAAGAGTGGTTCAACTTCTTATGTCCTCTGTCTCTTTATTTGAAAAACAAAAAGACTCACAAGATGAGAAGAGACTTATGTAATGGAGGTTTGTGGTTCATAATCCACTCCACTTGAAAGTATGCAATTTATCTTGTTATAAATTTTGTTGAACCTTTTTTAGTTGCAGGCGTTGGGAATTTTGGGGTCCTACAGATTTGCAGGGTTTCTTTTCCTTGCTCTCACTGGGGCTTGAGCATTTTTGTTGCATGGGAGGCAT